TAACGTGTAACAAGGACACCTTAAAATAAAGTGTTACCAAATATACTTATAAGATTTGAGGTACACATTCAATATAATTAAGCATACTTCTTTTTTCACAAAGGTTATGTAAAATCTCACTTAATAATAATAAAATAGTACTTCATATTAAAAATATAAAAAATACCTTGTCAAACTGGAAAAGGCACCGAGCCATACATAGAAAGACCTATGTTAAAAAATACAGCACTGTACTTGTTTGTAAGATTTACCCTTTCCAACGTAATCTCTTCATATTCGATCTCTCCTTCTGCTCCATTGACCTACAAGACAACACATGCGATGTGAGTCCCTTGAAGACATCAGCTTAAGACATGCATTACACAGTAATAGACATGCAAATATAGCATTGTTTTCCAGCTATTAAAAGAAACCGACTCTTTTTACTGAAAGGTGGAACTTCCGTTCCTACAGTTTTGGCAATGCATTTATTTTCTTTATTTTACAAGTGGTCAAATGCATAACTAGTCTTTTACGTTATCTGAAGAAAATATTAAGTGTTGCTTGACTGCTCAAAACTTGTGTGAATGTGAATTCACCAAGTAGAACAAAATCCCTGTTGATCCTGGAAAAACATTCCAATCAATCAGAACTGCGAGTTAAGTTTACAGTTAATGTCAAGTTTAGAGTTAGGGACTTCTACACCATTCTTATCTGCCTGTTATTTAGGATAAGTTATGGTTAGGGTTAGATTCAGTGGGTTATGACTGTTTTTGGATAGGTTCCAGAATCAACAAAACGTACTAAAAAAGCACAGACCCAAAACCCAAATCACTTGATATGTGATTGCTAGGGTGTTGTGAGCTGCAACAAGGGCACTGTGGGTGGCTGCCGAGGCATTATTATTATCATTGTCTGGGTATTCTTGGTTTGACATATCATTCCTGTCTGCACCACTAGTAATTTCTAGATCTAAAGACTAAAATATGCATAATACTTACATACGGTGAGCCATCCAGTGTGTCTGTATTTACCACCACTGGTGGAGAGTTCGCCTGCAGGAGAAAAGAGAGAGGAATTTTCAGCACAGTGCTTAATAGACATAATGTCCGGAACACACCACGGTACTACTTCGACTTAATTTACTGGACGCAGCATGCATACTGTGCGCAGTAAGCAACTTTTCAGTATGCATACTGAATACCTTGATGACCTACTTACTATGCAACTGTTCAAAAGTTTGGGTTTGTCAAGTCTCTTCTGCTCACCGAGGCTGCATTTATTTGATCAAAAATACAGTACAAACAGTAATATTGTGAAATATTACAATTTAAAATAACTGCTTTCTATTTGAATATATAGTAAACTGTAATTTATTTCTGTGATCAAAGCTGAATTTTCAGCATCATTACTCCAGTCTTCAGTGTCACATGATCTTCAGAAATCATTCTAATATTTGCAGCTCAAGAAACATTTCTGATTATTATCAATGTTGAAAACAGTTGAGCTGCCCAATATTTTTGTGGACATTAACATTGACATTATATATGTCACTTTTGATCAGTTTAATGCATCCTTGCTAAACAAAATGATTAATTTCTTTCAAGTAAAAGTAAAATTAAAACTCACTGACTCCAAACTATTGAACAGTACTGCACATTTTTATTTCCTAGATCCTTCCTGCTGAAGTAGACATGCAATGTTATGTGACAACAATGTAACATAATACTGTTTGAAATGTACCTGTACATTATATAGCAGGCAGATTCACGTATATTTAAGCAGTAAACCAGTATTTCATTCAAAACAGCCAAGATTTTTACAAGTCTGAAAAGTTTTGCAGGTTTTCCATTGAAATAATGTAAAAGCAAACAGCACATACATCCACTGATAAGCTGTACTACAACACACACGACCCTCTTTTACAACTCACACACACACACACACACACACACACACTCACGCACTCACACACACACACCAAGCAATTTACAGCTGTAACGTCTGCTAGCACCTCTATTGCTTTCCAATAAATGTGATTAGAGACACACACACACACACACTCACACACTCTCACACTCTCACACACATGTGTGTGCTGTGGGCGAGCCGCTCTGATCCTCAGCATCTAAAACGTAAACTAAACAACCATTTTTATGGCTGTCCAATCCAATCCACAAACACATCCTTCGTATATTGGGCTACTTCTAACGACAAGTGTGTAAATTGCATATTAACCATGTGAAAAAGAAGTGTGTTTATTTGTATTGTGCACTTGTAGTGTACTTCAGATCTACAGTAGTCAACATTTGAAGTGGATCAAAACCTTTCATCAAAGTTGTCCTAAAACCTTCTTTTTAGGATAACTTAGTTCTTAGGACAACTTTTTTGATCCATTTCAAATGTTGACTACTGTATACTAAAAAACTGTACTTACAGATAATATATTAAGGAAATAAAAGGCCACTTAAGTGAAGACAGTTCACTTTCATGACAATTTCTTAACACTTAAGTACACTCTTAAAAATTAAGAGACATTTTAAATAATGTTTTAATAATCTTTTGTCAAGTAATTTGAACTAATTTGATATTACATTTAATATATAAATTTACTAACTTCATTGTCACAATTCTGTAATTACAAATTCGAAGGTTTATTTTAGTTTACCATAAATGCTTGTCAGTTCCTTCAGCAGTGCACTTTAACCATATTTTAAAGACAATAATAGTAATTATAAAATTACATATAAAGATTTACTTAAGTCCTACTTAAGTGAGTTAAAAGTAACTGTATTTAATATAAATTTTAACTATAATACATTTTCATTTAATTGTAAATAACATGCAATTGCGTGTCTGAAAATATTACATTCAGTTCACACTTAAGTACATTCTTTTAAAGTATATTGTTTCTGTAATAAGTGCTCTTTTTGAAAGTATGCATTTTCACAATGGTAAACAAAAAAAAGGCTAATACTGTGGTGTATCAGATATATATTTGATATATATGATGGTATACTTTTATTAACATATTCATAGGTCATGGTGCTTAAAATGCTTTTAAGGTACTTCAAAGATTAGCACAGCATTAAAATCATGGTATACGGTCAAAAACACCATTTTATTGCAACTAATACACCCCTGCATAGTTCATATGGTCCGTTTTACAATGTCTGGCTTCCTTCTCATGTTTATTGCTTGGTTTAAAATTGAAATCTCCAGTGCTGACCAACACTGCAGCCCACCAGATTGACTGAGTAAATGACAAACAGATAGTATTTCAGTACAAAACTACAAAGCCCTGCACATGACATGCAGAAGAAATTAGTTCCCTCATTTAATAAAATTGTGGCCACGTTATACCCATTTGTTCACTTGTTTTAATAAAGTTAAATAGAGGCAATGGTTTAAAGGAACAGTTCACCCAAAAATGAAAATTTGCTGAACAATGAATGATGGATCTGTTTCAGCTTTTGTCATCTCAAGATGTTAATTGCTGTACTGAAGCTGTGTTGTGGATTATCGTGATGTTTTTATCAGCTGTTTGGACTCTCATTCTGACGGCACCCATTCACTGCAGAGCATCCATTGCTGAACAAGTGATGCAATGCTACATTTCTCCAAACCTGATGAAGAAACAAACTCATCTACATCTTGGATAGCCTGAGGGTAAATGTTCAGCAAATTGTCATTTTTGGAATGAACAGTTAATTCGTGGACATTTAATTCATTTGTTCCATCCTTTTATCTAAATTGTGGCAATGATTCTAAACTGAGGAAATTGTTAATATAGTTAAAAATGAGGAAAATTACTAAAATGAGGAAAAAAATTAAGTCATGGGAACAAATTCTTAATTCATAACCATTTTTGTTTTATTAGCCATTATGTCATTTGCAGAGCTCCGTACAGAATAGGAAAAATAAAGAGAAAAGTATTTAGAAGGGAGTTAAAATCCCCAAACGTATAACATCATATCCATCTCTATCAGCAATATTAAATGAGCTCTTCTGCAGGCAGAACCTCGTCACCTGAGGGTTCTTGAAATTATATCCAACAATATTTTCTTCCTGATAGGTCAGTAATCATGTTGAAATGTGTGCACTAGTGCATTAGTGTATTAGCAATCACTTATAACCTAAAAAAACCCCTAGATTACAGAGGTGGAATGGAAAGTGAGTGAGATTACAGTGATGAGCACTGAGGTGTCAGTTTAATATTAAAGGGTATTTTTAAACTAATTTCTGTGTCAGTAATTTGCTTCAGGAACCTGATGTTACAAGACGTGACCCAACACAGTATCAAATGTTGCCAAATTCAAACACTGAACTTTTCGCCAACCCTCATGAAAAAGAAGTACACTTTAGAACACTTTTAAAAAAGTACTTGACTTTACTGAAAAGTACTTACTGTAAATGCACAATGCATAATGGTTTATATTTATTTATATTAAATGCAATTGTTTGAACTTTAGAGTGCTTTTTTGACCCACTTAAGCAGGACTTGAGTACATCTTTATACGTAATTTCATAATTACTTATATCGTCTTTGAAATATGGTTAAAGTGTATACTAAATAAGTATAAGTGATACTAAAACTAAAATGCACTTCGATTTAATTTCTATTGAAACTTGTATGTCATGTATTTAAATATATTTACAATTACACATTTATGAAGTTGCGATTTAGTACTTTTAAAATATAGAAACTTTAAATGTACTACCAACCCACTAGTTAAAATTATAATATAAAATAATATAAATAAACTATAAAATCATAAGTACTTTACACATGCTTGTTAACGACATGACAAAAGATTATTAAAACATAATGATTTATAAAGTACTTCAAAGTAACACTTTTAATGTACATTATTACAAATGCAACTTTTTGCTAGTGTACTTAAGTGTTAAGATTAAGAAACTGTAATGTGGTGTTTGGGTTTTGGTTCATGTTCATGTTTTCATGTCTTTTAGTTTGTAATTGTTTCACCCTGTTTGTGTCATGCTTCCCTTGCCCTCATGTATTCATGCCATTGGTTCTCTTGTTCATTGTGTCATGTTCTGATTGGTTGTCCTAGTCATGTGTCTTGTTTCCCATAGGTTTGTTCTTGTCATGTGACCCTCTTGTCTGCTATAAGTAGCCCTCATGTTGCCATTGTCTTTCGTCGTGTATTGATGTTGTAACCCGCTGTCGGTGAGTCTAGTCTGTTCATGCCTCGTCAAGTCTGTTCATGCCTAGTCAAGTCAAGTCTGTTCATGTCAAGTCAAGTCTGTTCCTGTCAAGTCAAGTCTCGGATTATTGTTTGGATGTTTGAATCACTTGTAAATAAACTGCACTTGGGTTCTTCACTACGCTCGCCTTCAGTGGATGATTCGTTACAAAGTGAGTATAAGGGTTTTTTATGAATCTTTGCAAATCGCCTTTCCTAATAACGTCCTAGTT